CTCAAAATGTGGTAGTTTCTTAAAGGCTTGTTGTGATGCGGAAGTTGAGACCCTATCATGTACTCTGTGCACTTTGTTAGATTAAAGTCCACTGGTCTGTTTTGCCTTTGGGTTTTGTAGCATCATGCATTGGTCATTGGCTCACTCTGGAGCTATGTAGGCCTTCCAGAGGTTGACACGCTTCATTACATAACGTCAAAAACTCACATTTGTTAATATTGCCACCAATCTCATCAGAAAGGTCTTTAAATACTGGGAAGCTGTCAAATTCACAGTAGTGGATATGAGTTTTCCAAAAGTATAATTTTCACTTGAAAACTCACCTTTTATTATGGGCAACAAACTACCCATTGTTTTGCCTGAAGGGAAGGTTCTCTTCAATCATTTTGAGAAAATATCTGCCCAATACCAAAGACACCATAATTTATTATCTGTCAGTAGTTCTTTCAAGTAAAAATAGTGTTTCATTTTTTAAAAGAGCTATTAGTTCAACTCAATCACACGCATATTTTCCTTAAGACAACCATCTTCTTTCCATATACACTGGAAATGCTGTACGCATAGCTTCAATTGGTTCCACCGACTTTTAAAAAGACTTGTATTCAAAGGTCGAGATTTAATATATTTAATAGTATATAATTTAATATATTGATATAATAGAATTGTATTATTACAATTAATGTAATTTAATATGATTAACGCTTCCTTATGACATTTTAAGTGAAACTGGCGATTTTTCCTTTTGTTTTCTTCCTGCGAGAGCACAGAGTGGGGAATCCCAGTGAAGACGCGACAACCTCCCTCCATTGCTTTGACCTGCACTCGGCTGCCTACAGGTTAACTCACCGTTGTCCGCCCACCCTCCGTGACAGGGTCAACTCCGTGGAAAAAGCAAGCAGTGTCTTACTGTTACTGTGAGAACAGATTTGACCTTGAAGACCTGCTGCAAGCGATCAAGGAGCTCCTCGGGGTTTATGGAGACGCTGTGAAAACCACTAATCTAGGTGACCCGGGGTCCTTCAGACCGTTTTGACAGAGAGTGGGGGGTTCGGGTAGCCGTGAAGCAAGAACGTCCATGTTCGCCATGGACTGTTTCAAGGGAGTTGCATCTGCTTTGTTCTCCTGTGTGATGCGATGGGAAACTAGCTGGGGGCCAGCCCAGTGTCTGCAGACCAGTACTGGACACCGGGTTAGTCCTGCCAGCAGATAGGCCAGTTCGGCTGGATCTGCCCAGGCTGTGTAACTGTGCTAATAATACTTGTTTGGTCGCTCGCCCTCACTGGCCAGGACCAGCTGACGAGATAAGGATTAAGTAGTGAACTACATGAGAATGGCATAGGGAGGTGGTCATCTCTGCCTTTTCCCCTCAGCAGTGCTGTTATTTGTTATCGTGGCTGCCCGTTGGGGGCGGAGTTTTGGAGACACCTCTCGTCCTTCCCTATTACAGCAGCTTTTACCCCACAGGCCAACCAACCAATGTGGGGTTCTGCCAACTACCGTAAGTGCGCTCTCACCCTGTACTAATACCCACTGGGAAAGGTCCCCTGACCCAGCGCACCCGCTCTGATCTGGACCTGGACCAGGCCTCCACTCGTCGGCTGGCCTCCAATGGCTCCTGCTCCCGCAAGACCATAGCGGGACTTTGGATTCTTAAGCTTCAATGTCCATTCAGACTGTGTCCACCCGTCCTCAAAAGGTCCCGGTAATTTCCTATCTTCCCGGCACGGTGACCGGGCACTCGAGCTGCTAGTTCTCTGGGGGGAGGACTGAGGCAATCCCTCCTGAGCACACCTAGTTCTGCGTTATAGGGTCACTTACGAGAGGCACCTGCCTTCTCCTGCAGCTCACGTTCTGGGCCACGAAGTGGTCCCAGTGTGACCCCTGGGCAGATTGTGGCTCTTTCCTCGGCACTATCTACAGGCAGCCTCCTCGGCGGCCATGTTAGTTTGGGTGGAGGGCTTACCCCAACCTTAACCTCAACCAGTACTCTCGCCGGCTAGACCTCTGTCTAGGCTCGACGGTCACTGTGCTGCATTCACAGTCTCCACGGCTCACTCTGAACGGGTCCTTCCTGCCCCCCCACGCTGCCCTGGCCATTTGTTGCAGTAATTACGGGAGGAGCAGCACCATGTTATCTCCGAGGTGCAATTTCCATACCCATGTCCTGCTCTTACTGTATAAGATTTCTGAAACAACTTAGCATTTATGCTTTCCTGACTTCCCCTTCTTCAGAATAATTAAGCTTTCTAAAAAAAAGTTATCGTAATTTTCATGTTACGGCATTTCCACTCAGAGTGCCTTAATTGTGCCTACATTAAACAGGAAAAAGAGTAGTTTACTTGGGAGATCGTTTTTTTTTTTTTTTTCCTGATTTTGTCCTTTGAGCAAATACTAATGGAGCCTAATACATTTTAGGCTCTGTTGGGTGTGATAGGAAAACAACCTTAAAGAAACATTGTCTGACTTAAGGAATTAATTATTCAGCCTAATGAATTGCCGATGACTAGTCAACCAGGTCATGTAGTTCATTCAGGAAGACGTGGAATTGGGGCCAGTAATTTGTGCTCAAGTGAATGGTGGTTTGTGGCCAGTAATTTGTGCTCAAGTGAATAGCAGGTGGTTTACTGCTCTTGTGCTGCTCTGAATGATGACCTGTCACCCTTGCCGCATGCTCTCCCCAACCAAGTCTATGTGTGTTGTCCTCTGCGGATGGACCCAGAGAATGACCCAGAGTTAGTGGTCTCCAAATGAGGTACCATGCAGGTGTGTATAAGGCAATCAGTGGGGGTGTGGGCTGAAAATAACTTCTACTTGTCCCCCTTTATCCTTTGAAAAAGGAAAAAACACACTCTGTCCTATATAATCTAGATTATGACTCGCACATTTCTTCTTCTGGTCACAGGGTCTGTAGGGAGCTTGAGACACCCTGGATGAAACATAAGATCTCCACCAGCGCCTCATTCTTCAGCTGTTAGGATATTGTGACTTGTGGTTGTTTTCTACTGTTAAGTCAATTAGATGAGGAAAAAAGCCAGACTTTTTATGTATAAACAGGGGTAAGCAACTGTGTTAAAAGTGTGGGGACCACTGTCTCTTAAGCTGTAGCCTAGATGTGTGCTAGTCATTCTATCCATGATCCATTTCTGTTTTCTTCTTGACAAAACAGCAAGCCTGGATTTTTGTGGCCATTATTAGGAATGTGGAGGAGGTAAGCCTTTACGCCATGCAGAATGGCTCCTGTCATTATTTTTATCTTCTATCACCTTTGGAAATTTGGTTGGGAATAACACTGAGCTATAAATTTTTTGGTCTTTCCCTTACCATTAAGTGGTCTCTTAGGGCTGCTATGGACTGAATTGTAGCCCCCCCCCCATTCATATGTTGAAATCCTAATTCCCAGTGTGACTGTATTTGGAGAAAGTCTTTAGAAGGTTAAATTAGGTCATGACGGTGGGGCCCTTATCCAATAGGACTGTGGCCTTAGAAGAGAAAGATCCCCTTCTCCCCCCCCCCCCCTCCCAACTGTCTGCAAGCCAGAAAGAGAACCCTCATCAGAACCTGTCCACGCTGACACTCTGATCTCAGACTTTGAAACTCCAGAACCGTGACCAGGTCAGTTTCTGTTCTGTAAGGCGCAGTCTGTGGTGTTTTGTTATAGCAGCCCAAGCTGATAAAGACTAAGGCTTAGCCTTTGTAGTTAACTGTTGTGAAATCTTCATTATTACACAGTAAAACAGGCAGATCAAGAGCACAGATTGGGTTACACTCAGGCTCAAATCTCATGTGGTTTTGGGCAACTTCCTTCAGCTCCAGGAAACCCATTTCCTCAATTATAAAGTAGGGATAATAGGGGCACCTGGGTGGCTCAGTCAGTTAGGCGTCTGACTCTTGATTTCCACTCAGGTCAAGATCTCAGGGTCATGGGATCAAGACCCACATCAAGCTAGGTGCTGGGCATGGGATCTGCTCAAGATTCTCTCTCTCTCTGTCTGCCCCTCCCCCTTCCCATGCTCTCTCCTTCTCTGTCTCAAAAAATGAAATAAAAATAAAATAAAGCAGGGATAACAATTCCTTAAAATTTATTTGAGGTATGATCATACAGGGATAATATTTGATACCTGGTTTAGACTTTATACACTAACAATGATGTTCTAATCATTTTTTGATCTCATAAAATTGTGGTGGTTTAGATGGGTAGGAAAAATCTTATCCCTCCAATCCTTGCAAGTGGGGTAGAACAAGGTTATATTCTGCACTTCCCCATTTTTCCTCATTTTTAAACTTGGAATTAAGAATCTTCATTTGTAGTTAAACTCCTACTTGAATCAAATAGATGCATACCTTCCCATTATAAAAAATGTGCAGTCATCATTTTTCTATATGCCAATCACATGGCTCAATCACAAGATGTGGGTAACTACAAAAGACACCAGAACTTGCATCTAGTTGTTGCTAGAATGGGCACAAACCACGTTTTATAAAGATGTGTTTCAGTAGATGTCTTGTAATTTGTCACCATGTCTATAAAACCCCCACATAGTATATCATCTTGGTTTTATCTTTTGTATGTATCTTTTGTTGAATGTATTTATTTGTGAGAGCTGCTGCAACAAAATACCACTCACTGAGCGGATTAAGAAACAGCAATCCTCCCCCTTTTTATTTCACAGTTGTGAAGGCCAAAAGTCCAAGATCAAGGTGTCATCAAGTTTGGCTTCTCCTGAGGCTTCTTTCGTTGGTTCACCAATGACCACCTTTTTGCCGTGTTCCCACTTGGTTTCCTTCTGTGTGCACACATTTCTGGTCTCCCTTTGTGTGTCCAAATTTCCCTTTGCTATGAGGACACCAGTCTGACTCACCCTAAGAATTTCAGTTTAAATTCATCTTTTTAAAGATCCTGTTTCCATATGCAGTCCTGTTTTGAGGTACTGTTGCTTAACACTTCAACACAGGAAGTTTGAGGGAGAAGGGGACACAATTCAGTCCGCGGGAAGTGAAGCAGGAAATTCTACCCAACAAAACTGGCCTTCAGAGGTGCTTTATGGCAGGTAGGAGTTCTATACCTGTTTACATTTTTTTTTCAAGCTAAAATCATGGCCATGCTCTAAGATAAAGAAACTGAAATGTTCTGATTTCTCTTTGTGTTTCTGTAAGTGATAAACCAGAATTTCTCAAAAACTTTGGTTCTCCTTGAGATGCTCCATTGGATTTCTTCTTTGTGAGAGCATTTGGCTGTACTCTTACCTATGCGACACTCCAATTTTTACAAAAATGTCCTCCATCATCCCCGGCTTGGCCCCTTATTTGACGGCTTCTCACTGAACCCTCAGTGCGGACTTCTAGCTTCAGTACACAGTGCCAGTGGGGAATATTCTTGGAACCCATGGTGGCTTTTGAGATCTGTATCAGGAGATCCCTGCACCAAGGCCTGCTGCCTATGGGATGTGTAGTTCACCCATTATTCCTGATCATGGGCTCCGGAAACTGAATGCAGAATAGTTCAGACCATTTGCTTCAAAGATGAAGATTCAGAGTTTACATCTCATCCCAGTTGGTTCTATGGCTTCAAGAAGGTGATGTGCTCTGAATGAGCTCAAGTTTTCCCCTTGACTAGAGCCACATAAGGTATCCCGGTACACAAGCAGCCACCATCAGCTGTATTTAGGGGCATTTGGTGAAACAGCTCTGTGTATAAACTTGTATTTAATGAAGAATATTCTCATCAATATTTCCTAACAGGATTCTCTCCTCTGGGTCCCAGCGGAGGATTTTCTCTCTTTCCAGGGCCTTCTCTTGGTGCTCATTGTACTCTGTTAGAAACTGAATCTTGTAACAAAACACATTTCTTATCTTCAAATAACTGAAAAGCTTTTGACCAAACTTGTGGCCAACCACTTGTGAATGTATACGACTTCGTAACGCCAATTATATGCACTTTAAAAATGCTTGATGCCATCTCATATTCTTTTCTGTCATATTGTTCTTCTTATTTTAGTTTATTTTATCTTGCTATATCACATCTCCCTCTGTGAAGTGCTTTCTATCATAACTTCTGGGTAGGAATTTTTATTTTTTCCCAATTACTATGGATGTGTATATGGTCATGTGTGTATGTGGAAGGAAAGAATTAAATGCTTCCTCTTTCTTTCTAGTGAGAGGGAGTTTTTATAACCAATTGTATCCCCTATTGCCTTTCAAAGGAAGCAAATCCAATGGGGAGCACTGGAAGACTGCAGCTTCTCTGTGATTCTAGGACATAGTTTAAACGTGATGGTTCCAATACCTCAGCCATTTCTAGGAACAGCAGTAAATGCTCTCTTGCCTTTTCTCCTTAAAGGAAAACTGTCCCTTAGGGGAAGCACCAGGTGTTGTGTGGGGAGGACGCAATTGTGTACTGACATCTTCAGGAGAAGAAAAGCCAGTGATACCATCTTAGAACCGTAACTAGAAACGTGCATGCTTAAGGTAAGCCCCTCCGGAGAGCTGAGAACCCACTCAAGGTATCCAGACCACCCCTGGAAGGACGTGGGTAGGGGGTAGCTCGAGGAATGCTTCCAGGAGAGTTCCTTGGTAAACTTGATCCACTCGGGAAACGCGTTTCAGGAAGCAGGGCCAGTACCGCGGACAGCACCAGGACCCCCGCCCGGGTCGGGGGAGGCAGCAGCACCACGGACAGCACCACCGTGAGCGAGCACCGCGCGCGCTCTGGGCGGAGGGGCGGGGATAGGGGACCTTATCAGCTGATGCCTTACGTAGGCTGGATCCCCACTTTGAGAAGGCAGGTCTGGATCGGCGCGCCAGCGTTCCGCCCCAAAGCCGCGGCCCCAGACGGCGTGGCGCTGGGGCTGGGGGGATAGCAGGAGGCAGATCCCAGAAAAAAGGCCCCTGCCTGGCTTCCCTGGCACGGGGTTGAGGCTGCAGCCTGCTGCCTGGAGAGAGGGGCGAGTAGGGAGGCAACGCGCAGCGAAAGTACTGCTCTGACGCACCAGCACCCCCTCCCGCACCCACAGGCTCCGGGGGCGCCCAGCTGCCCCCCGACTTGGGAGATGCTCAGCTCTGGGTGACCAGACTGCTGTCTGTGCGGGGGGGAAGAGCCTGGGCATGTGACAGCTTAGGAGGGCCCTGGCTGCGCTGCGAGACACAGCCCAGCACCCGCCTCTCAGCCACACCGTCTCCCGCGTATGCTCACTGGCAGGAGGTTTCGTAAACAATCCCCAGAAACCCCGCCACCAGCCAGAGGTCGCAAACACCCCGAGTGGCTCCGGGCGCAGGGGCCACGACTGTGTTCCCTAACGCCCCTTCTGCACGCACCCCGGGCCAGTCTCCCGACCCAGCGATGGATTCACCTGTGAATCTAACCTACTTTTTTCTCTCCACCCCCGCCCCTTCGGAGACCAACCGCAGCAGTCTTGACGCCGAAGACCCGCGCCCCAGCCCGCCCCTCCACTCTGTCTTCGGGGTGCTTGTTCTGACCTTGCTGGGCTTTCTGGTGGCTGCGACGTTCTCCTGGAACCTCCTGGTACTGGCGACCATCCTCCGTGTGCGCACCTTCCACCGGGTTCCGCACAACTTAGTGGCATCCATGGCCATCTCGGACGTGCTCGTGGCGGCTCTGGTCATGCCGCTGAGCCTGGTGCATGAGTTGTCCGGCCGGCGCTGGCAGCTGGGTCGGCGGCTGTGCCAGCTGTGGATCGCGTGCGACGTGCTCTGCTGCACCGCCAGCATCTGGAATGTGACGGCCATCGCGCTGGACCGCTATTGGTCCATCGCGCGGCACCTGGAATACACACCCCGCGCCCGCAAGCGCATCTCCAATGTTATGATCGTGCTCACCTGGGCGCTCTCCGCCGTAATCTCCCTGGCGCCGCTGCTCTTCGGCTGGGGGGAGACATACTCCGAGCGCAGCGAGGAGTGCCAGGTGAGCCGCGAGCCCTCCTACACCGTGTTCTCCACCGTGGGCGCCTTCTACCTGCCGCTCTGCGTGGTGCTCTTCGTGTACTGGAAGGTCTACAAGGCCGCCAGGCTCCGCGTGGGCTCCAGGAAGACCAACAGCGTCTCACCCTGGCCGGAGGCTGTGGAGGTGGGTGTTACAGAGATCCTTGAAAATACTTTACTTGCATTCGCTCAGGCTTTATCTCCAGCACATGGACTGCAAAGTTTGTAGAAAGTGAGCTTTTTAGCTTTTTGGCGGGGGGGGGGGGGGGGGGGAGAGGAGGGGAGGGTGGGGAGAAGCGGGCAGGACGGATGGTAACATGACTTGGCAGAACGATGGCTCAACATCAGGCAGAGCAGATTAATGTTTTAGGCCAGTCTGCTTTTTCCTTCGTAAATCGAAGCAACTAATCTTTCAAAACTAATCTTTCAAAAACAGAGTATCTCCTGGCTTACCACCTGCTGTCCTGCAGTGTCCTCTTTCAGGCGTTCACCCATTTCAGAGCCTGCTTTGGTTAGACACTTCCACTGCCTCTGTGTTGCCTTCTGGGTCTGTTTCCAGCCCCATCGGGCCGTTTGTGGGCCGCAGAGGGTCACTTGTTCGCCTTCCCAAACAAGCGACAGGAGGAAATTAAAAATCTAAGGCAGACAATCCCCAGGTCTTTACAAGTAGCCTTTTCTGTGAGACAGTAGCTACGCAACAATGAAGTCTCTTCTCCTGTCCTCTTTCCACCATGCTTTCCTGTTTGGTTGTTAACTCTTAGTAATCCAGCCCTGTGACTGCAGATTCAGGAAATGCATGACTGGAGCCACGGGTGTAAAGATAGCTCTCCCCCCACCAGCTCTCACTGCCAAGGTCTTCCCTTGAGCCCAATTCATGTATTTAAGTTAGGTCAGAAGTCTACACAGCCCCAGTTTCTGTTCTTGGCTCTGGAACAACATAAATTCCATTAAGCATATTAAACCCACACTGTGTATGGGCTTGGTGCAGGGAGTGAAGAAGGATAAAGACATCATCTTTCCCAGGAAGAGCTCCCTCTAGTAAGGGTGATAGACACCTCCCGTGAGTGCTGTGATACGGTTGTGTTTTGGGATCGGTAGCTAATTCCAACAACAGTCCATCAAGCTCAGAGGGACCAGAGGTGTAGGTAAGGGAGAAGAAAGTGTGTCCTTCTAGAAGAGGGAAAAGGGGGTCAGAGGCTACCTGTCCTTTTATCCAGAACAATGGCCTCAAGCAGGGGGTGATTTATCCCCTCCAGGGGCCATTTGGAATGTCTGGAGATGTTAAGATTGGTGGGGGGGGGGAAACATTGTTAATGCACCAGACAGGCCACCACAACAAAAAATTATTCAGACCAAAATGACAACAGTGCCAGATTGGGGAAACCCTTTGCTATTAGATTTCGGAACTGAATGAGGAGAGCCGATGGGGCACCAAACTGCCCGGGGCTTCCACATGCATGACGATCCACCCCAACTCCGGGCCAGGAACAAGAGCACTGGCCACCTTCAAGCGTCCTCCTCCCACATACCTCTTCTGCCAGGATGCTTATCCAGGCCAATGGTTTACAGCCAATACCAGACACAGCTGACAAGGAAAAGCAGTCACAGTTCCATCTTGTGGAATTTACTGTAAAGTGATGCAGCCTTTCACTGCTCTGCTCTGGAGAGAACACTAGCAAAACATTTTGACATTGTTCTGCTTTTATATGTATTTTTTACACCATTTTATTTTCTCTCTCTCTCTCTCTCTCTGGCACGTAACTTAAGAAAATAGGGCCCTTGGTTTGCAAGACCTTCAAATGGTCCAGGGCTCCACTATTACTGGGAAGGGTGAATTACAAACCAGGTCTCCTGCTTTTTCCCTGGTAGCAGGTGCCAAAGTTTCCATATAGAGTCCTACCCCCAACTGGCTGTGTTACCTAGGGAAACACAACACTTTTTCCTTGCTTCTTTGTCTGCTAAGTTTTCTTCAAATACCTACTGAAAGCCTAACCTCTGTCAGACACTGAGATGGGAGGGGCAACATGAGATGGGCCTTGCCCTTGACAAAGCATGTCATCATGCACCACTACTAAATGTCTGGCATAAAAAGATCATGCTGGGTTTACTGCTGACTAGTCTGTGGCAGAGCTGTGCTGGCCAGCCACAGTTGCTAATCTTTTTTTTTTAAAGATTTTATTTATTTATTTGACAGAGAGAGATCACAAGTAGACAGAGAGGCGGGCGGAGAGAGAGGAGGGAGCAGGCTCCCTGCTGAGCAAAGAGCCCAACTCGGGACTCGATACCAGGACCCCGAGATCATGACCTGAGCCGAAGGCAGCAGCTTAACCCACTGAGCCACCCAGGCGCCCCACACAGTCGCTAATCTTAAATGGCATTTTTGGGAGGCAATGGAGATCTAGGGGATGTTGCGGGGGGTGACTTCATCTGCCTGAGTCTTTATTTTTTTTATTTTACTTAAATCCAATTCATTAACATAGAGTGTATTATTAGTTTCAGAGGTAGAGGTCAGTGATTCATCAGTTGCATGTAACACCCAGTGCTCAGTGCATCACGTGCCCTCCTTCATGCCATCACCCAGTGACCCCTTACCTCTACTGCCTCTCCTCCAGCAAGCCTCAGTTTGTCCCCTAGAGTTAAGAATCTTTTATGATTTGTCTCCCTCTCTGATTTCATCTTATTTTATTGTTTCCTCCCTTCTGCTATGATCCTTTGCTTTGTTTCTTAAATTCCACATGTGAGTGAAATTGCATGATAATTGTCTTTCTTTGATTGACTTATTTCGCTTAACATAATATCCTCTAGTTTTAGCCACATCATTGCAAATGGTTAAGATTTAAATTTTTGATAGCTGAGTAATATTCCATTGTTTATTTTTTTGATATTTTCTTTAAGGTAAATTTTAATTTTTTAATTTTTTAATTTTATTTTTTTCAGTGTTCCAAGATATTCCATTGTTTATATATACCACATTTTCTTTACCCATTCATTTGTCAGTGGACATCTGGACTGTTTCCGCAGTTGGGCTATTGTGGACACTGCTGCTGTAAACATTGGGGTGCAGGTGCCCCTTTGAATCACTACGTTTGTATCCTTTGAGTAAATACCTAATAGTGTGATTGCTGGGTCATAGGGTAGCTCTATTTTTAACTTTTTGAGGAACCTCCATATTGTTTTCCAGAGTGGCTGCACCAGCTTGCATTCCCGCCAACAGTGTAGGAGACTCCCCTTTCTCCACATCCTCGCCAACACCTGTTGTTTCCTGACTTGTTAATTTTAGCCATTCTGACTGGAGTAAGGTGGTATCTCATTGTGGTTTTTATTTGTATTTCCCTGATGCTGAGTGATGTTGAGCATTTTTTCATGTGTCTGTTGGTCATCTGGATGTCTTCTTTGAAGAGCTGTCTGTTCATGTGATCTGCCCATTATTGACTGGACTTTTTTTGTTTTTTTGGGTGTTGAATTCTTTATAGATTTTGGATGTTAGCTTTTTATCTGATAAGACATTTGCAAATATCTTCTCCCATTCTGTAGGTTGTCTTTTAGTTTGTCGGCTGTTTCCTTAGCTGTGCAAAGCTTTTTATTTTGATGAAGTCCCAATAGTTCATCTTTGCTTTTGTTTCTCTCGCCTTTGGACGTGTCTGGCAAGAAGCTGCGGTGGCCAAGGTCCTAGAGGTTGCTGCCTATGTTCTCCTCTGGGATTCTGATGGATTCCTGTCTCACATTTGGGTCTTTCATTCATTTTGAGTTTATTTTTGTGTATGCTGTAAGAAAATGGTCCAGTTTTGTCCTCCTGCATATGGCTGTCCAATTTTCCCAACACCATTTGTTGAAGAAACTGTCTTTTATCCATTGGACATTCTTTCCTGTTTTGTTGAAGATTAGTTGACTATAGAGTTGAGGGTCCATTTCTGGGTTCTTTATTCTGTTCAACTGATCTATGTGTCTTTGTGCCAGTACCATCCTGTCTTGATGATCACAGCTTTGTAACATAGCTTGAAGTCTGGAATTGTAATGCCTCCTGTTTTGGTTTTCTTTTACAGCATTCTTTTTTTCTACTTAAGGTCTTCTGGTTCCATACAAATTTTAAGATTATTTGTTTCAACTCTGTGAAAAATGTTGATGGTATTTTGATAGGGATTGTATTGAATGTATATATTGCTCTGGGTAGCACAGACATTTTAACAATATTTGTTTTTCTAATCCATGAGCATGGAATGTTTTCCCATTTCTTTGTGTCTTCCTCAATTTCTCTCATATGTACCTTATTGTTTTCTGAGTACAGATTATTTCCCTCTTTGGTTAGGTTTATTCCTAGGTATCTTATAGTTTTGGGTGCAATTGTAAATGGGATTGGCTCCTTAATTTCTCTTTCTTCTGTCTCATTGTGTATAGAAATGCAACTGAATTCTATGCATTGATTTTATATCCTGTGACTTTGCTGAATTCCTGTGTGAGTTCTAGCAGATTTGGAGTCTTTTTTGGGGGGGGGGGTTTCAACAAGAGGATTGTGTCATCTGTGAAGAGTGAGAGTTTGACGACTTCTTTCACAATTTGGACACTTTTATTTCTTTCTGTTGTCTGGTTGCTGAGGCTAGACTTCCAGGACTATGTTGAACAGCAGTGGTGAGAGTGGACATCCCTGGTCATGTTCCTGACCTTAGGGGAAAAGCTGTCAGTTTTTCCCCTGTGGGTTTTTCATATATGGCTTTTATGATATTGAGGTATGTTCCCTCTATCCCTACACTACAGAGTTTTAATCAAGAAAGAATGCTGCATTTTGTCAAATGCTTTTTCTGCATCTATTGAAAGGATCATATGGTTCTTATCCTTTCTTTTATTAAGGTGGTGTATCACGTTGATTGATTTGCAGATGTTGAACCACCCCTAGATCCCAGGAATAAATCCCACTTGGTTGTGGTGAATAATCCTTTTAATATAAGTTGGATCCTATTAGCTAGTATCTTGGTGAGAATTTTTGCATCCATGCTCATCAGGGATATTTTTCTGTAATTCTCCTTTTTGGTGGGGTCTTTGTCTAGTTTTGGGATCAAGGTAATGCCTGCCTCACAGAATGAGTTTAGAAGTTTTCCTTCCATTTCTATTTTTTGGAACAGTTCCAGAAGAATAGGTATTAATTCTTCA